TGAATATGGATTTTGATATAGGGCCCGGTCAAGCAGAAGCCAAAAATTCAAGTTAATGCATCTGATATAAAAATGTATTGAACAGATACATATGTACTCTAGTTTATGAAACTGTTGACCTTTTTTCTGCACCATTTTTGGTTCTAAAGTTACATATGTTTTAAACAGACCATGTATGAAACATGGAACAAAAATTATTTCCCAAATTTCAAAGACCTGCAAATCATGTGAATAAATGGATGTATTTCATCATATCTTGTGTTCGATTCAATCTTTGAACTGTTGACGAAGGTACATTATTTGAAAAAAAAAAAATAGCTTGGAAGGACTGACATATTTTATAGAAATAGTTTCTTTCATTTTGAAGTAATATTAAAGTATTCGGAGGAAAAAAGATGACAAATGATGTAAAATCCTGCACCTTCTACTTGTTTGCAGAATTTTCCCTCCGTTATTTTTCCCTCCGTTACCATGACCTTTCTTAATAAAAAATCTCATGAGTCAAAAAGTAAGAGGTTTTTCAACCTAATCTTGTACCATATGGTAGAAAACTATATGAAGCAAATATTCAAACCAGTTTGTTAAGGATATGGAAGTGAGAACCAAGAGTTATCACTGTTTGGATTTATTGCCCAAAAAGTGCTGCATATTTCATTCCCTCCGTTACCCACATGAGGTTTTTTATTTTTTCTTGAACTTGAAAGAATATCACAGGTTTAACTTGACCCTGTTGGAGTGTAACTCTTTCCTACATTCTGATACTTTACTTATTTCAATAGTTCCTCTAGTTTCTGAATAAGAGACATTTGAATGTCAAAAATCTGCCCCTGTTCCCCTCCGTTACCACTTGACCGGACGCTATAACATCTTTGGTCCATCTGAGAATGAAAATAAGTCTGGATTCAGTGACACAGGTGTGTTTACACAGTGATCACTAAGTATGTGTGCTGTGTGATAGTATTACAGTGACGAGTTTTGCACAGTTAACTTAAACATGACTACACAGATCTCCCTTATCTCTTTATGCTGTGAAGTTCGTGACAGACGTTTAGTTTAACCTCACTCAGCCTCGTATCTGATGGACAATCTAGATCCAGATCTCTCTCCATTCTAACCGTCAGCCCTCTCTCTCTTTTCTCACTCTTTCTCCTCCTTCTTTTCCACGCTCTTGTTCGGTCTAACTCTTATCTGGACCTCATGAAAATATCAGTGTTTGTGTAACTTTAACAGACAGATTTCTTCACATATTTGAGTTTTACATTCCTGCATGCAGAAGCTGCATAAAGGACTCACCTGACTGGACTGATTCAGACCCCAGACAGAAACTGGGGCCTTTTTTTGTGATTTTCTATTGACTGAATTGCATTAGTTTGTCCTTAAATGCTTTTCTCCATGTAGATCTCATTGCTTTGTCCAGAATGTTTCACAGTATGACATTAAAGCTTTCTATCTCGATGGAGAACAAACCAGACCAAATTACAGGTCAGATCTGTGGAGAGGCGACCCCGCTGACAGTCAGAATGTCTGTTTTTCTAGGTATTTTTGAGCTATAAAACCACCTGTAATCAGTGTTGGGAAGGTGACTTTTAAAATGTATTCCCCTATAGATTACAGATTACATACACCAAAATGTAGTTTGTAACATAATCCAATAAATTACTTAAAGTGAGTAACGTAATCTGAATAATTTGGATTACTTGGTTTGTTGTAGAGAAGCAAAGACTCGGAAATCTTCACATAAGATGTTTTATCTGCTAAAAGTAAATGAAAAGTCCAGACTTTACTGAACCGTATTAAAAATATTATTGATAGAAGAGGAGGAGACACATCCACACAGCATGATTTAGTCCTGTTAAATCATGTTTTAGACATGGTTTAGTCTTGGTTTAGTCCTGGTTTAGACCTGGTTTAGACCTGGTTTTAGTCCTGCTTTAGTCCTACTTTAGTCCTGGTTTATTCCTGGTTTTGTCCTGGTTTAAACCTGGTTTAGACCTACATTATTCCTGGTTTATTCCTGGTTTATTCCTGCTTTAGTCTTGGTTTAGTCCTGGTTTAGTCTTGGTTTAGTCCTGGTTTAGTCCTGGTTTAGTCCTGGTTTAGTCCCAATTTAGTCCTGGTTTATTCCTAGTTTATTCCTGGTTTAGACCTGGTTTTAGTCTTGCTTTAGTCCTGCTTTAGACCAGGTTTAGAACTGGTTTGGACCTGGGTTTAGATCTTAGATCTGGTTTAGAGTCCAGCAAAAAAAAAAAAAAAAACGGAATAGCCAAAAATGTGAAAACAGGAAAATACCACCATGTAATCCATTTATTTCAACAAAGTAACTGTAATCCAATTACCACTCACTTAAACAGTAACTGTAGCTGAATACAGTTACTCATAGTTTGTACTCTGATTACGTAACTCCGGTACATGTAATCTGTTACTCCCCAACACTGCTTGTAATTGCATAAATGTAGTTAGAGCTGTTTAATGTCACACTGTGGAAGATTCCAGGCAGCACAATGAGAGCTACACCAGAAAAGTTACACAATGTGCCTTTCTGGAAGTGTCACATCACCCACATGATTCAATGGAAGTACCTCATGCTCTGTCCACTTGTGTGATTGGTGGTGAGCAATAGTTGTCAGTCAGGGCAGTTATGGGAATATGTTGTTGACTCATATTGATTGACCAGAATTCTGAGTACAATTGTACTTAAATACTTTTTTTTTTTTTTTCTCCATGTTGCTGGGTTGCAGATGACATCACTACATTCTATAGTCCAATATTATTTAATACAGATGGGGGCAGCTGCAAATTTTTGTTGTAATATAGCATGGTCTTGGGTCTAGTCAGTAAGAGAAGTGATCAAGTTCCTTATTTGGGAATTTAGATTTTCAATATTTCATGGCAAAATACAATGTGATCAACAGGGAAATCTGTCTGTGCCCCCCATGTGGGAGTATGACATCATTATTTTCTACAATGTGATGATGTCATCCACCCACATGGGGGGCAAGAGACACATTTGCCTTTTAATAACATTCCACTTTGCCATGAAATATCCAAAAAAAATAAATTCACTTACGTTAAACCAGATCATTTCAATTTAATGAGTTTAACAATTTTAATGTTAGCTGCCCCCATCTGTATTCATTCATATTGGATGATAGAATGAGGCTGTGTCATCTGCAGCCCATCAGTTGGAGGTTTTCAGATTGTAGAATTTGATGATGTCATATTCACAGATGGGGGCACAGACACATTTCCCTGTTGATTACATTGTTCTTTAGCATGAAATCTCTAAACGGTAAATTCACAAATGCTGAAACTGATCTTCTCTATGAGTGATCAGAGCTAAGAACTCACCATATTACAACACAAATCTGCATCTGAACAAGATCCATTTCAACTTTCCCCAGCTGTGTTAAATATGACTGGCCTGTAGAATGTTGTGATGTCATCTGAAACAGCAATAGGTTAGGGTTAGGGATAGGGGGCGTAACAATATCCAAGTCTCACGGTACGACATTGTCACAGTATGAACCTCATGGTACGATTTATTGCGAAATCATGGGAAAACTCACGATCTGGTGGCAAGGCTCACAATTAGGGATGTTACAATATCTAAATCTCTCAGTACGATATTTTCACAACTAGGGGCGTGCAAAAATATTGAAATATCAATATATCGTATTGTTTCATATGATGATACAGTATCGATATTGTGGGCTGCTGTATCGATATATATCGCAAAGAGTATATTTTTCTATAGTTAACTAAATACTTTTGTTACAGTGCCACAGTTTTGTTGCTTGTTTAGAGAAAGGAAACTCATTTATGCAACACATTTGACATTTTCACTGTTTTGATGATTAAAATGTTTGTGTTTCATATGAACTTTGCACAAGAAGTGGTTTAACAAAGACTTTTAGTGTCACAGCCACGATTTAGCCTTTATTTTTTATTAAACCATATTGATTCGATTTGAAATATATGGTATCGAATCAAAAGCTTACTGTATCGAGATATGTATCGTATCGTGGCCTATGTATTGAGATATGTATCGTATCAGCAACTTCTTAATGATACCCAGCCCTATTCACAACATACGTCTCATGGTACGATATTTATTGTGATGTGGAGGCAAACAAAACTGTTAAAATGCCTTGACAAGATTTAATCTAAAGAACTAAGAATTAAAAGTGCTTCGAACTGTTATTTCTTCCTGTAGTCTGCACTGAAATTGAGCAAAGGATCATGGTCTATGTATTTCCTTTTAGGGGTGTAACAGTAACCGAAATATTGTGATATTGTATCGTCAAAAGTCTCTGTCACAATATATCGAATCACAAGTTCCTTTGCTTAAATGCATGGTTTTATAGAAGCAACAGCTTATAATAAACATCCGGAAACTACATATCCCATGATACATTTCAGTGCAGAAAACATGAAGAAATATGTTTTTACTTGAATTCTTGGGATTGTGGTGGAAATAATTTACACTAAAATCTTGTCAAGGTTTTTTAAAAGCAAAAAAGAGTCCTACCTACAATTATATCAGCCTCTTTAAAATATCTGTCTCTTTTTTAGCTATTGCTGCATCATAACTCTTAATTTAAGCAAAGAGACTTGTAATTCGATATATTGTGATGGTCCATGATATTATTGTGAGAACTCTGACGATATAATATCACGATATTTCAGTTATTGTTACACCCCTAGTTACTCGTGTTGTCTTCTCAATAGATTCATTTGTTGTTTTGTATCATGCACATATATGTATAGGAGACTGACCTAGGGTTGGTTTCTCATAACAATGCAGACTTTTAGAATTGCCTTTACAAACATGTTCAGATATCTTGATCTAACCCACTTGGCTGTTAGACTTCTGACTTAAAACACCCAAGATCATCACTGAGTTTTGATGAATTACACGGATCTTTAGATTTTTTATTCTCAGCTGTCTGTTTGATGCTTTAAAAACTTGTCTAAACTGCTGCGTTTCTTTTGTTTTTCAGTGTGGAATCTCCGTATTAAAGACCTGAACAACCTCCTGGTGAGTGATTCTCATTGGTCGGTATGTGTCACATGACCAGCTCCAGCCTAACCCCTCCTCCCCTCTTCTCCCCTCTGTTTAGGACAAACTGGACCTGTACTGATGTCTCCCTGCACCTGACCCTCCTGTGAACGGACTACATTACCCATGATGCACCGCTCTACATGACCCACGACGCACCACTCTGCGGCTGCTCAGGGCGGAGGGAGACGCGAACATTTGAAACCCTAAGACACTGGATTCTAACACTTTTGGATGGTTCTTCTCGAGCAGAACTACACTTCCTGTGATCCTTCGCTTCTTGCTGTTTACTTCTCGTTGTTGGATGCTGCGATTCTTCTCAAAGGGACTTGGATCTTTGTTTTTGTTGAGAGACGTTCTGTTGGGTTGGACAGTGGGACAGTGGCTGCAGCTGATGAAATGATTTGTTGAACTTTTCAGGTGTGGAGGAGTTTTGGAGTCAGAGTTACCTCACGCTAAAACCAAAATCCATCCGTGAAAAGGAGAAGCCACTCCGATGAGACACGCACCATGTTCAGATGATCGCGAACTGTCCCCTGTTCTGCTACACTTCGAGATAACGTGTTTTATGAATATAATTTAAAGTCAAAGATGGTTTTAGGGTTAATAGCAAATCAAAATATTAGGGATGGAACGATATGGATGGAGCCGATACCAATATCTGATGTTTGACCTGCTGATGTGGCCGACTTTTAACTTAACTTTTAAAATCCATAGTTAGGTCCAAAAATTTATTGGTATCAAATATTGGTATTGAATATTAATATCGGCCCGAATATGACAGGTTAGTCGGACTTGGGCAGCAGATACAACATAGTAGAGGTAATTCCAACACTGTTACCTAGCAACCATGATGTAAACAAGGGTCAAAACTTGACTAATTAACACAATAGCCTTTTTATTATTTGATGAATTCATGTTATTTTTTTAACTTTATTTTGCTGAACTAAGGTTTCAGAATGATTAGTTCTTAGAGCATAAATGTCGTATGACTGTTCAGTTTTGATTTGACCCTCTCTGCTTATGTTCATATTCCAAACTCAGGGCTACTTCCTGCCATTTTGAACTCTGACATAAACTTCCACTTAAATAAATACTGACCATAGGATTTATCCACCAAACCAAGTCAGAATTAGACAAATATGAAACCTGGCATATGCAGTTGAATCCAGCTCTGTGCTCACACACATGCATACACACACACAAACACTCACACACACACACAAACACACACACACACACACAGTGATATGGATGGATTTAAAATATACTAACTCGAATAGTATTTTACAGACCTGCGTGAAGTTGGCCCTCCATCAAACTCACACCTACACAAAATATATGTCACTCGTTTGTGCTTCGTTCGTGCTGCAAAAAGTTTTGTTTGTGCTGCTGTAGTTTTTGAGACACTAAAAATTCTTTTGTAAGTCAAACTAGGGTCAGCCTACCCCTAGGAAGCTTCAAAATGCTCTAAAACGTCCAAAATGGTCCCAGTCATTTATGCTTTGTTTGAGTTGTTTGTGCTGTAAAAAGTTTGGTTTGTTTTATTTTCAGCTGATGACGTCATCCGGCCCCTTAAAATGTTAAAGGCAGAAAATAATACTAAACATTTATATTTTGTTTATGCTGTAACAGTTTTTGTTTGTGCTAGTATATTTCTAAAATGACTAATTATTATTTTTGTGGAAATTATATGACATATTTTTTCACTCAGCTGACGTCAGCAGCTTGAGCAAAACTCCACAAAACTAGTGAAGAGAAACGATCTCAGGCTGTGTAAAAGTATATCATATATATTTGGGCCATTTTCGAGCATTTTGAAGCTTCCTGGGGCTGGCTGACCCCAATTTGACCTATGAAAGAATCGTTAATATCTCCAAAACTAAAGCAGCACAAACTAAACTTTTTGCAGCACAATCGGAGCACAAATGATAGACGTAGTTTTTGTGTAGGTGTGCGTTTGATGGATGACAGACATGGGCAGAGCAGGGGACACTAAACTCACTTTTCTTCATGAATCTGAACTTTAGTTGTTTTAAATTTGTTTTTGTGTATTCGATGTGTGTAGTGTTTTTAAAAGTTATAGTCCCAGATCAGACAGCCCCAACTCAAATCACAGATCTGATCTACAATTGTGTTTTTATGAATGACAGGATAACATTATGACCACCTGCCCCCAAACTGTGCACTATCAGAGTGGCTTTAGTCCTGGTTCAATCCTGGTTTAGACCTGGTTTAGTTCTGGTTTAGTCTTCGTCTAGTCTTGGTCTAGTCTTAGAACACAGAAGAGCAGGTTGTCATAATGTTTTCACTTTGTTTCACTGGACCAGTCAAGTCCAGACTGGTGCAGACGTGGATTTAAATGGTCAAGATAAATGATTTAAAACTAAACTAAATCTGCCTCTGTAGAAATATTGTATATACTGTCCCCTAATGTACAAACTACTGACTCAAGAACAATAAAAGTTCACACGATTGGTTCAAAAAAACTTTAATTACAAATGCTGACATTAATATGAATACTGAATATGATCATTCATTAGCCGCCAATTTGATTTTGACTCTTGAAGTTGCTCAGGTGAATGTTAAAGTGCCTATGACAGGTCAGACCACTCGTTTGACTTAAACACAGTTAAAATCAATAAAGGTTAAAATTCAACTAAAGATTTAACTTTTCTTCTCCCAGTTTAGGCATTTTTTAGGTTTCAAATTCCTGGTTGGAAATCATGCCATCACACTGGGGAATTCCATAACTGTTACCTAGCAACCATCTAGTACACTCATTCAAAACTCCTCTAAGGCTACATTCAGACTGCACCCTGAAGTGACCCAAATACAATTTTTTGGCCCCTATGCTCCTGTATCTGATCTTTTAATGACAGTCTAAATGACACAGATCTGATTTTTTCAAATGCGATTCAGGCTACTTGGATATGTGCTCCTAAAACTGATACATATCTGATCTTTTGACATATGACTTCAGTTTGAACGGCCAAAGCGCATCCATCCACCTACACGTTATCACACTGTGGACTTGGCTATGTCAAAGAGGTTGGCTATTGTGCGGTAACAAGCACCTGTTGCAAGCCAATACAGCCCAACACCGACGCGTTGATCACGGAAATAAGCCACTGAAGATATGTTTCGTCTTGTGAGAGTGGCACAAGTAGACACTCACAAATGTACACAAACATTCTTCTCATCATACGAAAATTGTTAATGAACTCCGTGTCACTGAAGCGAAGCACATCGCTATCCCATCACTCTTGGCTACGTCTCCACATCCACACGTTCCTTTCAACGGACTGTCCCACTAAACGCCACGGCCAAAAACCTCGTCCTTGTCACTCTCCTCCTTAAAACAAGTAAGTTGAGGCTCCGGTACAAGAGGAACTTTAATGCTCAATGCTCAACGCTCGTGTCCATGTTTGGACAACTTCCGTAAAAACAGAGCACACTGGCTGCGGTTGACGTCGTCGTGTCTCCAGTGCACATGCGGGACACTTTTGGGTTGTTTAAAGTTCACACTGGAGGTCACATACAAGTCGCATTTAATTGGAAATGTGAACGATCTTGCAAAAAACATCAGATTTCACAAAAAAACAAATCCAAATTGAGCATTAAGCCCTGCAGTTTGAATGTAGCCTAACATCCAGAGATTATTTCTTGACAAAAGAACAAAAAAAAGAAGAAAAAAGAAAGCATTATTTTATTTTTATTTTTTTAAACATGTTAAAAGTATCAGAAAAAGGTGTTTCTAGAGTAAATTTACAGAATTCATCCAGTGTGACGTCATCATAACTCTCTCCTTCCTGGAATTCTCAACCAGTTTTTCAACTTTTCCTCACACATTTCTTCTTGATTTGTGTAAAACTATAATTTATATTTATAACAGGTTTTATCCCAAAAAAGTCTAAATTACAGAATCATCCAAACCTGTCATACACACTTTGAGTTGTATAAATGTACGCAGAGGTTAGTTTTTTTGTTTCGTTAGTCATACGGCTCCCTTTAAAGCTGCACTGTGTTACTTTTCTGCTGGTGGGTCAACCATCTGCTTGACTCCATGGAGAGGTTTTTGCTTCCTAGAGAATGTTCCACAGTATGGCATTAAACATATCTATCTGCTTGGAGAGTAACTGGTCAGATCCTGGGGACAGGTGAGCCAACTTATAAAAAATAAAATAGAAATGTTTAAAGGCATACTGTGTAAAATTCTAGACAAAGCAATAACATCTCCATGGAGACAAGCAGGCGGTGTGGACCCCCCCAGAAAAGCTCCATAGTAGTGATTTAAACTCTAGATAAATGAACTGAACTGGAGAGTGGAGCTCTTAAAGACACAGTGTTGTAGGAAACATTAGATGAGTGTTTGAAATTATGTTTTGGTGCTGATGTTACATAGATGATTCTAGATTCTTATCATGTGTTTGTGGAGAGATGCTCTGAATACTCGTACCATAGACTGTATAAACAAGTGGACTGAGCGGGCATGACGTCATTCACAGCGTTCAGCTCCAGTCAAATGAAGCTCATCGTGGCTTGCAGTTCTAGCGGCTAATCTGGACCCGGTTCCACGTTCCATACTTGGAATCCCAACCGCAAAGAGCCAATCAGGAGCGAGGCTGTTGAAAGTAACGCCCCCTTCCTCCCGGTACAGCTGGTTTAGCAGAGAGAGTAACGCTGTCAATCAAACCTGTTGCTCCCGACTAACCAGGGGAAGAGGGCACCTGATTGGTCCGTTATTAAAGTTCATATCCTGATTTAGGGACAGAATATTGAAATAAAAACAACAGGATCATGCAGAGCGGGTTAAAACAACAGTTTAGGACCAAAATGATGAGTCTGATGTCACTCTTATTCTCACTTTTGGTTTGGAACATGGCCACTATCGGGTTCGCTACTGTATGTTCATTTCTATATACAGTCTGTGCTACTGATGTAGATTTTTTTTTTTTTTTTTTGTTATGGTAGAACTTCTCTTCTCTTGTGCTGAAAGATCCATATCTCATTGCGGTTTGCTGCAGGTTTCACTGAGCATGACACGTGACCAAAAGGACCTTTATGAACATTGTTTCTTTGGTAAAGTTTCAGCATTTGACCTGTTTTGTCCAGACTCTGGTGATATCACATTTTAAAGTGAAACTCCCCAAAAACCTTCCGCTCATCCATGGATACTGACTCTCCTAAAGCTGCATTGTGTTACTTTTCAGATGGAGGGTGCTCATCTCCATGGAGACGTTATCGCTTTGCCTGGAATGTTCTACAAAATGCCTTATCTCTATGTCGAATAGATATGTTTAATGTAATACTATAAAGTTTAAAATTCCAAGCAAGAACATCTCCATGGAGACAAACAGGTGGTGGAAGCCCAACACAAAGGTTCCACAGTCCAAACCTGCATCTAAGCTTCTTCATCTTCTTCTTCGTCTACTTTATTGTAGTTAATAGTACTAGTAGTAATACTACTACTACTACTACTACTACTGCTACTACTACTGCTACCACTACTACTACTACCACTACTACTACTACTGCTACTACTACTGCTACTACTACATCTACTACTACTACTGCTACTAATACTACTGCTACTATTTCTACTATTACTACTGTTACTACTACTATTACTACTACTACTAATATCACTACTACTACTACTACTACATCTACTACTACATCTACTACTGCATCTACTACTACAACTACTACTACATCTACTACTGCATCTACTACTGCGACTACTACTAATATCACTACTACTACTACTACTACATCTACTACTACATCTACTACTGCATCTACTACTACAACTACTACTACATCTACTACTGCATCTACTACTGCGACTACTACTAATATCACTACTACTACTACTACTACTACTACTACTACTGCTACTACTACTAATATCGCCACTACTAATACTGCTGCATCTACTACTGTGACTACTACTAATATCACTACTACTACTACTGCATCTACTACTACATCTACTACTGCAAGTACTACTGCAACTACTACCACCAATATTTAAAATAAACAGCAAGAAGGTTGATGGTTCGACTCCAGGCCTGTCTGTGTGGAGTTTGCATGTTCTCCCTGTGTCTGGTGGGTTTCCCCAACAACAGGTCAAGTCCTCTGACTAAAGTCGTCCTGAAAGAGACTAGGTCAAGATGTTGAGATGGGTCCCACTGCTCCTGACAGGTTCAACCCAGAGACACAGAAGGACGGATCAAATGCAGGTGTCACTTGTAGACATGTACAAGTGGGTCAAATGCAGGTGTCACTCACAGATATGGACAAGTGGGTCAAATGCAGAGGACAATAAAGTGTACCTTATTCTACAAGTTAACTTAAACAGCTCATATGCTCTTAAATGTACATGTCAGTGTTTTACGCAGAGGAAACATGAAGCGCTCTTTCAGTTCATGTTGATTCAGTGAGACTGCGGCGGAGGTGTGTGCACACTTAAACCACACACACACTCACGCACATACACACACACACGTGAAAGAGCCACTACTGATACTTTACAGCTGATGTCATCAACATTCCCTGGGGGTGTCAAGCTAACTGAAAGCACTACTCTGTTAGAAGCTGTGTTTCTCAAGTTAGACTTTAATCTGAACTTTATTTAATTTTTTTCTGACCTGAAAATGATGATCTGGTTGGAAAAATAGTCAACAGTTTTTCTCCAATAGTCACTCAATCACACATCTAACTCCTAAACAGGAACATGAACACTCAGACTGATCACAGACTCCTGAAAATGTGAGATACAAATCAATTTGGTATTTATTTTCAGTCTGAAACTTTGTAAAATGTCTGTGTTTTTGTAATGTCTGTAGTGTGTCACGATGGTACCTGTTGAAAATTCCACCTATAGAGACGGATGTCTCCCTAGCGTGATGTCAGTGCAAAGTATCTCTAGAAGCTTTGTTTAATCCAGCTCTATTCCCTGTCCCTTTCTGTGTCAGTGCAGCTCTCCTCTGTGCTGCCCCCTCCTGGCTGTCCTCAGGAGCAGCAGCGAGTCTGAACACGTCTCCAAACATCAGGAAAAATGCGCCAAAAGTTTGGGAATTCTTTTGGAATGTGTGGAGAGGAAGGGGCGGGGCTCCTGCTTAATAACAGACCATGACTACACTGTAAAAATGAGTCTATATGTATATTTTATTGTTGGAACAAGATTAAAAACCTCTAAAAATGGACCAGAAGGACATTTGTGTCTTGTTTCTCAATTGATTTTGTGGTTTAATGGGCTTAGAATTTTGATTTAAGATGCAATATGTAACTTTTCTGAAGGAGGTTTACCATATACTTGCCCAGAATATTCCACATAGAGCATTAAATCAGTCTCCACTTTGGTTTGAATGGGGGATTATGCCATCTCATTTCCATGGTGACAAGCAGGTGACGCCATAAGGTTACAGGAAAGGTCTGTGGAGAGGCGCCACACTCACTGAATGCATACGTTTCAGGTATTTTT